GCTTCAATTGCTGATTTTTAAGCATAAAATGAAACAATTTTAGTATTCAACAACTATACTAAAGCATTTATTCCGCCTTCATGTGCTGCCAACAGAACATGCACTTACGGGTTAGCCAATGACTATCAGGTAGGCCTACACGTCGTCAGTTTTTTTCTTTATAGACTCAGCCCTTTGTTTGACAGCTTAAAATTATGTTGTAGTTGATGCATCTTCAAAGTATTTATGGTCCATTGGTTATTATGGGTATTTATGCGTCGACGCTCAGTTCTGCATCTGGTTGTTTGATCGGAGCTCCACGAGTTTTTCAGGTTGCTGTAGAATTTTTGCTGGCAAATAAATTGTGAATTAGAACTGTGCATCTTACTCCTCGCTGACTGATAACAATTGTAGGCGCTCTGTGGTGACAATATATATCCATATTTACAGTTTTTCCATAAAGGCCATGGAAGTAACAACGACCCATTTCGAGCTTATTTCTTGACTTTTGCCATAGCTGCTGCAATTATCGGCATTGGTGAACTTTAGTATGAAAAATTTGTAGTGGTTCAGAAAAACTTTCAAGCAGAATAGATTTTCTTTTATCGTTGATATTTTCGGTTTTCTTGTTTCAAAAAACAACTGCTGTTTAGGCGATTTAAACATGATTTCGATGATTATCACTAATTTCTTTTTGGCTGCTTTTGCAATTACAAATTTCGCCTGCTTTGACGCAACACAAGCAAAATCACCAGGTTTTGTCATTAGCCTTTTTTTTTTTTAAATTGAATTAATTTCTAGGTATCTTTTTATTTTATTCTGATTTTCTACTGTGCAAGGAAGGCACTTTTTTTACCTTAAAGCATAAACCGTGTTTGTGAAGCATCACATATAATTTTTGCTTAGGTTTTCGACCGGGATTTCGCTTCTATAACAAATGGTTATCGCTTTTCGGATCGGTACTTTGCATAATAATCATGTTCGTACTTTCCTGGATGACTGCTTTAGTTACTTTTGGAATATTTGTGCTCTTGTTCATTTATATTCGAACACAAAAATCTGGTAAGTTGATATCTTCACATCGCATTTACAACTTTTTAATTAGCTAAAAATGTATAGCAGCATGGAGTGTCATTTTTACTGCTAGACTTCATTTCCTTTTTTTCCCAAGCTACTGGATAATTAGGTAATTCAGACATACCTAACAAAGAACTAAGAATGTGTTGTCATTTATGTGTTTCTTTAATAAAGCCCTCAATTGGCAGTTCAGATTTACAAAAAAAAAAAAAAAAATTTTTGCTTTATATGAATGGAAAACTTTCATGTATCTAATCAAACAGTGTCTTATTTATATGTTTCAAGATTGACAAGCGTTTTTGGCTAAGTAAAAAAGGTTTAGTTTTTATTGAAATTTTCTTTACAGAATAGTTTCCAGATTGTAATATGCATCTTTTATTTTTTTGTAAGGGGGAGGGTGACAGTGCGACTTTGCAATTGGGCTATTAACAACAAATCGTTTGCTGGAGCAAGGAATATTCAAATGTTAGTAATCTGTAATATGAACTTGAGTGCTGCTTTACATTAGGCTTCAAAATTATTGGTCACACGAAAAGCAGTGTGGTGACTTTCAAAGCTTGAAGTTTGTTCAACAGCTTTTGAGGAGCTAACAAAACAAAGTGCACCTACTCAGATAAAATGCAACTTTCCGTTAAATGCTGAACTTTCTTCACTTTTCGTACTAATGTTTTTGAGGAAGACTACGACAGATTTTAGATAATGAAACAAATATTTAATGGCGGCTTAGCTTGCCCAAGTTTCCAATGAAGTATACAAGTTTTAGACAACACTTATTTTTGTCAGAAATATATCTGTTTGTTTCTTTGATATTCAGATATCAACTGGGGCTCTTCAACTCAAGCAAATAGTTACAGAAACGCGTTAATGGCACTCTTGAAGTTGTCGCAGATTGAAGAACATGTTAAGGTTTGTCAAGAAGCTTCTTTTTATAGTTGAAAGATATTTGTGCATGGAAGCCAATGGATCACTACAAAACTCTAACTTAAATCTGCTCATCTACGTTCTAGGATAACCTTTTAAAGCAATACTGAGAAAGTTCAAAAGACATTTTAACCTTCTTTTAGAATTACCGCCCTCAGCTTCTCGTTTTAACCGGCAACCCTTTCGCTAGACAAGCCTTGGTTGATTTTGCTTATGCTATCAGTAAAGGTCAAAATCTAATGATCTGTGGACATGTGGTGCCGGTAAATTATTTGTTTTCATTAGCAGTTAAATAAATAAGCATTATGATGATTGATTTATCAGATCACTAATTTTTACACGTGTGACAGAAGGCAGACTTATTTAGCCGTAGTGAAATTACAGTTTTCAGGCAAAGTATAAACAATTAGTTTGGTCACGAAATAACTTTCGTCTCAGTAATTTTATAATATTTTCAATCATTGTTTTGCTAGAGTGAACCTCGTTACTCTACCATTTTGTAGTACCCGCCATCAGTTGCTGCTACCGCCTGCATCAAAAAGTTGAACACTGGTCTAACTCACTGGTTGAATGAGCACAGCATAAAGGCTTTTTACTGTGCTGTTGCCAATCGGTAAACTGTTCAAAGATTTTCTGTGGCCCCTTGTCTTCTTTACGCAAATAGCGATAATACTGCAATGATTCAGCAAAAGCAGTTGGAAATGCTTTAAAACCTACCAAGACAAAACTTTTAAAATTTCAAATTTTCAAGATTGATTGGACTTCTCAAATATATTGTTTCGTAATTTAGATCTTTAAAAAGTGGAGTTCAGTCTTTGATACAAACAGTTGGTCTCGGAAAGATGCAACCAAATATACTTTTAATGGGCTTTAAAACAACTTGGTTATCAAAATTGGAGACGGCTATGGATGAAGTTAAAGACTACATTGGCGTTATCACGTAAAAAATTTCTTTTATCTGATAATAGAAATTGCCTGTGAAACTCCCAATTTTATATCAAAACTTTAACGAAAAGTCAAATGATTATTATTTAAATAATTTAGAAATGTGTTAACATTGTTCAGTTTTATGCAAAAATTTTGTTCTCAATAAATTTTTACTTCTAGGGATGCTTTCGAATCTGACATGAGCATATGTGTATTCCGCAATGGAAACGAGGGCTTAGATCACAGTGTTAATTTGGTGTCTTCACAAGACTACTTCATACTGAAACTGCCCGATTTAGTTAGTAGTAAATGTATATCATTAATAAGTATAGTTAGCTTACAAAAAAATGAAACTGGTTTGCTTGATTTTCAGATGCTCTCTGACCCACAATCTTCTTTATCTGATGATCTCAGTAGGGGTGCTTCCCACAGAGCTCACAGGCCAACTGCTCCTACTAAAGTTGGAAAACGTAAAGTTTCAATGCCATTACAGATGAATGCTCTGTTTGCCAGGCCTGTGTGGTCGTAATTTGTTTTAACCTTTCCTTATTGTTCTAAGTTAAATTTTTAAATTGTTTGACAAATTTTTAATTAATTATAGCACGTCTAAGGCCCTGCCGGTCTGCAGAAAACATTAGTCACCTTCATAGCATGAGTCCCCGGCACGCTAGCATCGCTTCTGCCTTATCTTTGTTGAAGGATCCTGGCGCAAAGTTAGTTAGTTACTCGTCTTCGACGTCTAATTCTTGCGGCTTCTTATTTGTTTTTTATTGTAGTAAACAAGTAGTTTTTTAAAATAAAAATTCTGCTATATAACAGAGGTTTGACGCAGCGAAGAACCAGATTTGGTACAAGAGTGAAAGATGGTACAATTGATGTGTGGTGGCTGTACGACGATGGAGGTTTAACGCTTTTAATTCCTTATTTGTTGTCTAGTCATGCGAGCTACTTACAGGTAAGTTTTTCTATATTTTTCCTACAACTTCTAATTTAGTTCATTCAGAATGTCCGTGATGGTTTTTTACCCCAAAACAATCACACATCACAGTTTAAACTGTTAATTTTTTAATCTTAATTTAATTTTTTTTTATAAAATGACTAAACCTTAATGAAAGTTATTTTAGCCTACAAAAAAGATAGAACATCTGTGTAAAAATTTTGCTCAGTATTCGTTCTACGGCAACAAATTTATAGGGAGCAAAAATGCGCGTATTCACTATCACTCATAACCCGTCAATCGTAGAAGAGGAACGTGAAAAGTTAGAAAGTTTGCTTAAGAAGTTCCGAATTAATTTTGAAGAGGCTGAAGTATTGTGCGATGAAGACGAAAAACCTCTGTATCCAGAAACGTAAGCGCTTTTTGGAGTATAATAGGTTTCTGTCAAAAAGAAAAGAACTTTTTGAAGAGGAGCGTCAGCTTTGCTTCAACCGGCAGTTTCAAGATCAAGAACTCTTTTTTCAGGGAAGCGGAGCACGAAGAATTTATGGCAGTTCTTAGAAAAAAAGTACCGGACTGCATACTACGTATGAGCGAAACACGAACTCAGCGAATGATGCGTTCAAGGGAGCTTCTTTTGGAATACTCATCACACTCTTCTCTAGTTATTGTGTAAATCTATAAATTTTTTTGCGTTGCTCTTTTTAAAGTCCAATTTTATTGCTGACAGTCTTTAAGTCAATAATGCTGTACACCGTGTTTCTCAAAAAATTTTCTTTGTGCATACATTATTTTTTAATTTATTATGTATCAGTGAATCAATTTCTGTCTGCTTTTATAGTTTGTGCTTTTAGCTGCGTTACCAGAGAATTTTTCAGAACGATGCCCATTGCAAAGAAGACGATTTTGGGGAGTCCCGTCTATTTGATGTGGCTTGACTTCTTGAGCAAAGATCTACCTCCGACTTTGTTGGTACGAGGAAATCAAACCACTGTGCTTACTTTCTATTCCTAAAGTTAGTAAAAAACTACGCAAGTTACAGAAAACTGTCATCAGTGATGAACATTTACAAATTACTAAATAAAGTAATACGGGTTTCCACTTAGTTTGATTGCGTGGAAGACTGCTTTAGTTTTTGTATGTTACTCTTCTTTTGTCATTCTGATCTGATACACAATATAATAAGTATTGTTTGTTTTTCTTTGTTATCAGTGCATTACCTTGTTAAAAAGGGCTCAAAAAAAAGAAGTAAGCGTCTATGTCAGTGAACATTTAAACATTTGATACTGTTGCACTTAGTTTTTCGTCAACTTATTCAATTATTCACAGTAAAGTTTCTTAAAATTTAATTTTAAGAAATTTGCTATCTTCGCATGCCGATAATTTTCAAATTATATTCTACGTGGTTCTAAGTGTGTGCGGAATAAAAAGCCAGTTGTTATTTAATTTTTTGGTTTTCATAATTGTTTAGCGCTACTTTTTCGCTTAAACAGGTGGCGGTTTAGTTGGTGGTTATTGAAACACGCGGAGCGTGAGCTCTTTTTATGATGTGGAAGAGAGGACAAAGAAGAGTGGATGGATGATAACGGGTTGATTAAAGAAGCAACAATATTGCATAGGTCTCACTTATATTCAAAGTTTAAGTTGGTTCCTACTTGGGAAATTTTCTTCCCAACATATTTTTTTCATCTTTAAAAATCTAAATATACTTGTGTGCAGTTTAGATAAAACGTTTGAAAGAAAGGTTGTGTGGTGCTGCCGGGGCTGCGAGTTTAGTTCTATCCAGGAGTTAAAGCGATTGCTCAAGTGGAAATAAAAAAAATGTTAACAAACTGAAAGATTGAGTAATTATTGCAGTTGTAGCTGAATGTTATTGGAAAAAAAAGGCGAATTAAGAATTAAGCACTGAACAGTGGTAATACTGTTTCTAAAATGAATTTTAGAGTCAGAAACATTTTTCTTTATTCTTACCAAAGCCGTTGATTAAACAAATTTTGATCAAATACTCAATTCTTTCCAGTCTTTTTTTTTTTTT